CACAGGTTGCTCAGGGAAGCTGTGGATGTCCCATCCCTGGAAGTGTTCAAGGCCATGTTGGATGGGGCTTTGGGAGGTGTCCCTGCCAACGCAGTGGGGTTGGAACTAGATGAGGTCCCTTCCAACTCAAACCATTCTATGATCTATGAAATTGCCTTCTGGAAGGTAGTTCCAGGGGTTCATGGGGTACACCATGAAATATTGACCAGGCCTATTCATCTTCATGAAAGCATTAAAAGAGAAGAGTGGATAGAGGACTGCAAGAACTAAATACATCCCATGTATCACAGTTGCCACTCTCAGGATCAGTGTCATTAAGATCATTCCAATGGGATTTACATTTTCTTTTTCTTTAGATATTTCTTTATGGGTTGGTGGGGGTTGATGAAGCAAAATCAAACAAAAACACCAAGCCCCCGCCCCCATAAATATTAGAAAAAAGAGCAAAGCAGAAAGAACTATGCATATCACCATACTTGTATGAGATGCTTCACTAACACAACAGTTGCACAGTGTGACTTTTGCTTTTTTCACACCTGTAGTCTAGAGGGTTGAAGGCTACTTCTAGTCTGAGCACAGAGGACTCCATGGCCTTTCACTGCACTACTGAGATAAGCAGGCTTTCCAGGGATCTGCATACCCCCAGAAGACCATGAATTACTTCTGCAGCTCAATAAGCAGAAACTGTCAGCTATAAAAATAAGTCTGCTGCAGGATTATGTTTACTTTGGGAGCTGTGAATCTCTACAAGACCATTTCAGGCAACCACAAACTTAGAAATATTGAAAATGTTAATGTTCAAGGTTGAAGTGGATTTAAGTCTAAGGCATAAAATTAACTTGTGTTAATTAACACCTACCTAAATCCTCAAGTATCCCACATGTCAGGATTTTCAGACTCTTATCTTAAGGGTAGACATGTAACTCAAGAACTTAGCTTATAACTTCAGCTAACTTCTTGCTCAAGATGTGCCAATTCTTGCTATTGCTACAGATTGTAATACACTAAATACCCTTTTAAAAGTATCAGCTCAACATGTGATGATATGATTCCCATCTTCCATTAGATACAGAAGTCCAGATTTTTAAAGGTGCAGACATGTGAAAGTCAGATTTTCATGAGCACCAGGTACTTAATATCCAGTGATTCAATAAAATATACATTTTTAAAAAATCTTTTTCTATAGTGAGGTGTACTGTAACCAGGAATTCTCTATGATTTAAGGTAGCTAATATGTTCCAGAATTAACTTGAAAATAGAAGACTAAAGGCTAACATAGACAAGCAGCATGGTTAAAATACAGTATTTAATTTGTGTTCAGAAGCTCAAAGCTGTTTGTAGGCATTTGAACTGTCATTTTAATGGCCCAGAATTAGTGCTTCTGTGTAACCTAATTCTTCTCTATACCTAATTTGAAACTTGATGCCCCAGTCAGAAGTCTGGGTCCCTGGCTCACAGTGTTAAGTACCAGTCTGAAAGATCTGTAATTTTGTACATATGCATTCTTCAAATATCAGGCTTCTGCATATTGACAGCATAGTGGAGCATCCAACTTTTAAGGCATCTAAAATTACTGGTTTCTTGAAAATGTATTTTCTGTGCTTTCTTCCATTCAGACGCACCATCTACTCATCTTAAAGTTACTGCATGTTTTATGAGTTTAGCTAGGTCTTTGTATTTTATACGCATAGCAACAACTGGTATTATACACTGTTATCTTCAGCATTTCCTTGTAAGATATTGGTCAGCCACCTTTCCAAAGAGAAGGCATGTGTCAGAAGAATTTTCAATCACCTTTAAGGACAACTGTCAAGAATAAGAATGAAAGCAGCCTGCTTGCTTCTCTACAGCTGGAGCATGTCCCACTATCAATTCTGCCTAAGTCATGACCATGAATAGTACTGGGATATTTTGGTTTCTTTATTATAGACAGAAAGAATATGAACTGCAACCATGAATGACTAAGACTGTTTTTTTCCATCCCAAACCAATAAAGAATTAGGAACTCCAAGCATTCCCTTTTTGCTGAACGTGGTATGTCTCTTACTTTCTTAAACTTACAGAAATTCTAATGAAGAAAAAAATACTAATCTTCTCATTATTTGAAATAACAGACATACAAATCTTAAAGGAATACTAGAATCAGAGAAGGAAAAAAGCAACTAATATCACTTTGTAGACCCATGCAGATGAGTAAGTACACCATGAAACATACATCTGCCATTTTCTGTGCTCAGTTCACCATATAGGAGCATTTCAGCATTTCAAGTTCTATTCACAGCCTTTAATTCTGGACTTTAGTTGCATGATTTTATAGCCTAGCTAGCCTATAAACCCTGTTGAGTAATTTGATATTGTTGGTTTGTCTTTGTAAAACCAAAGCCAAGCTAAACTGAATGCTGCTAACATGCACTGGCGATAAAGCTTTTATCTGATTTTCTAAGAAGGGTTGGGTGTACATCAAGGAGGTATCTGCATACATCTTGCTTACTGTTGTAAGTAGTCAAATAATTCAGAATCAGAGAGTCACAGAACACCTAAGTTTGGAAAGGACCTTTAGAGATGGCCTAGTCAAACCCTTCTGCTCCAAACAGGGTCAACTAAATTAGATGTTTCAGGGCTGGGTCCAGTCAAGTTTGATTATCTCCAAGGACATGAGACTCTATAATGTCCCTGGGAAACCTGTTGCAGCATTTGATCCCCCTCACAGTGAAAAAGTTTTTTATGTTTAGACGGAATTTCTTGTATTTCAGCTTGTATCTACTGCTTCTTGTTCTATCACTGGACATAGCTGAAAAGAGTTTGATTCGCAGTTAAAGAAATACTCCATGAGTTTTCTCTTGGTTAGACAATTCCAGATCTTTCATACTCTCCTCATATGACAGATCCCCCAATCTTTTAATCATTTCTGTGGCCCTTCAGTGGACTCACTTCAGTACATCCAAGTGTCCCTTGTACTGGGAAGCCCAGAACACGACACAGCACTCCAGAACTGGCCTCACCAGTACTGAATAGAAGGGAACAACCACCTCTATTAGTCTGTTGGATGCTGATGGCCTTCTTTCCTGCAAGTGCACATTGCTGGCTTATGTCCAACTTCACGTCTTCCAGGACTCCTATGTCCTTTTCTGCCAAGCTCCTTCCCAGCCACATGGCTTCCAGCCTGTACTGGCACATGGGATAATTTCTTTCCAGGTGCAGGACTTTGCAATTAACTTTGACGAACTTAATGAGATTATTGGCCCATTTCTCTAGTCTGTCAAGGTCCTCTGAATGACAACTGAACCATCCCATGTATCAACTGCTCCTCAAAATTTATGGCACACCCTGTCTCATTGTCTCTGTCAACAACAAAGATGTTGAATAGTACTGATTCCAGTATAGACCCCTGGTGTGCACTGCTAGGGACTGGCTTCCAGCTGGATGTCAAGCCTCTTATGGCAACCCTTTCAGCCCAGCTTCAGGCAATTTTCAGTCCACACCACTCTCTACTCATCCAGTCCTTACTTGATCAGTTTGTCTCTGAAGATGTCACTTGAGACAGTGTTGAAAGCCTTGTTGAATGTAAAAATTTAAAAAAACCCAACAACATCCAATGCTCCAAATACCCCAGATTACTGCAGTCTCTCAAAGGTGAACAAGAGTATCCTCACCAAGACATGGGCCAGCTCCCTCAGCTCTTGTGAGTACAATCCCCATTTGGTGCTGTTCACGTGTAGATCCCATTTGTTGAAATGTTTGTGAATCTGATCCTACCCAAGGTAAGTCTTCTCTGCACTAGACTTTTCCACAGGTCTCAAGGGCCTGGGATACTTGAGGGAAAATCCTACCCATGAACTGAGGTGAAGACAAGGATGTGTAACTTAGCCTTGTCCGTGTCCTGTATCACCAAGACACGGCAGTAGCGAGCCCTGCTTTCCCTCATCTGCTTTTTGCTGCTAATGTATGTGCAGAACTCTTTCTTATTTACCTTTGTGTCCCTCACCAGACTCAACTCTAGGTGGGCACTGACTCTTCTCACATCATTCCTGCACACCTGGCAAGTGTCCTGCCATCCACTTGGATCACTTGATTCTTCTTCCACCTCCTGATGCATTAGCATCTTTATAGCATTTGAACAAAACACCTTTCAAATGCTGAAGAATAGATTTCCTTTAGAGAGTTGTCCACATCCCTTGTCAAAGCTGAGCCACTGTGCAGACAAGATTCCAAGAGATGAATCAAGACAAACAGCAGGCAAGAATGAGCCTAAGTGGATCTAAGGCTTAAGCTTGCTTGACTGGCAAGGGGCAGTGCTGGGCTTCTACAGCACCAAAATTCAAGCACACCACATGATCTGAAATGAAATTCAGAGGTAGAAAGGGAAGAGGGCAAGTAGTAAGTCCTGCGGAGTGACAATGAAGTAAAAAATCTTGTTTTAAGGGTGAAATAGCACATGAAGAAGATGGCATACATTATCAGAACTGACTCTGGGTTTCAGTTTCACTGGAGTGTGATTATTACACACAGAGGCCTATTAGCTGACAGACAAACAGGGTTGGAAAGCTTTAAAGAAGCACAAAATATTCCAATAGCGAGGCAAAAGAAGAATCTATTACATCAGAATGAACTTTATGATACTAAAAACAGGGGAGCAAATAAAAGGACTGAAAAAACCCCACTTAAACCGGCTGGTTAGCAAGGAGGAAAAAAGAACTGGATCTGGTTTTAATGAAAAGCATATAAGCTGATTCTTAGTCAGTATACTCTGACACAATTCCACTGATGTCAGTGAAAGGTTTATTACACAAGCCAACTTCACTGCTTTGAATTGATGCTGAAGGGCTACAGGAAGAAACACACACCTCAGTAGAAAGTTTTACCTGCACTAAGGTTGCAGGCTCAAACCCAGTGTAGAAGGTCCTCAGGTTTTTATAAGCAACTGTGTTTCATTTTCTAACCAAAAGTCTGGATTCTAAGTTTTACAAAATTAGTGCTGCTGCTCTGCAATGGCTACTTACCTTTTTTAACTCTTCCTGAATACTTCTGCCATTCTCCTCTGAGGACAAACTCTCCTTTTGGTTTTCAGGGTCTGTTTTAGATTCTGACTCTTGCTCTTCACCAGAAGATGTTTCCTTGTCACTCATTTTAGCAGCAAGCTGAAATAACCTGGATTTAAGCTCCTCTTCCATAATGTCAGGCTTCATGTTATGATGCTGATCTTCACTGCTTATATCTGTTTCTGATAGATCATCAAAATCCTAAAAAGGAATGAGAAGAACAGTATAATTACTGTATGGGTAAAAGAAAGGAAAACAAATAGCATCCTAGAAAAGTTTAGGCATGGTTACTCTGCATGGAAGGTAGAAAGAAAGCACACTAAGAGTGCTGATAAGAAATCAGAGGAATGCCAGTACGTCCACTCCTGTTGGATTATATTTATCATTCCTG